TTCTTGGTTCGGTGTCGTCGCGATTGTCAAAGGAAGGCCTACTGACGATTGAAGCATCACGTGACCCTGCTTTGTTGATAAGCGAGAGAGCCGTAGACGTTACCATGGAGACAGATGAACCAGAGGATGAACCAAAGCCCTCCACTAGCGCTGAAACAGCAGAAACTGAGGAGTAACTCAATCTTTCAAGAAAGAGAAGACCAAAATGTATCAATCGTATTTGATAAATTTCAGTACAGCTAATTATTTCATGTAAGGACAACTAAGCCCTTAACTAGCACTAAAATAGCAAAAACTTAAAAAGCGCGTATTTGATGTATGGCAACAGTAGCAACGTAATAGATGAGAGGTGTGAAGACCTTCAATTGTTCTGTTGAAAATATTTAATTATTATCCTTTTTTTTAATTAAACTTTCTCTTTATGCGTGTTATGATGTTAGTATTGTCGTTTAAATTAAGCCCTCGACAGTTCAGGAAGTGAACTAATTCAATAAAATTTTGACACCATCAATGTCGTTCTGTTTTTTAGGATTATTCCTACAAAACTAGAAAGGAAACCTTTCTCTGATTTTGCTTAAGTTGTTTATACGCGTCCCGGATTGTTTCTCAAACTGTAATGTAATGAAAACGGGGCGCGCGGTTGAAATAGATGAGGAATTATATTTAAACAAAACCTAATGTATTAGTTTTTGGTCAAATACAAATCGTTGTTTAAATAAACTTTGTTTTCTATCTATTTCCATTAGAAACGAGGTTAAGCGGCAAATCGCGTTTGATTCTCATCTGTTCTAATGCTGTTTAGGCTAAATGAAGCGAAACTTTTCACAATAATGTTGTATCGCTTTGTGTGACATTTACTTAGCATAGAATCATTTGGGAAACTCAATTCAGTATAAAATTTAATAAGGAGCGAATTTCTTTGAATTAGCGATACCGGAAATCCCAAAACTGTCAAAGACAATAAGAATTGGAATAACAATACCATAATACAATTGACATTGGAGAAACTTAAACAAGTTACTTCAAACAATGCTGAAAATTACAACTCATCTTGCATTTATTGATTTTAATTTTTTGTCACGTACTCTTACTTCTCGAAGATCTTACGTCAAGGTTTGTTTTAGTCAGTCAAAATTAGTTGAGCTGCGCGCTCTTTTGAGTTTCTTGAGCATGGAGGCAGAATATCTGAACAGGAGTTTTGGCTGGTTTCTCCTCGCCATGGCGATTTCTACAAATACCCTTGACATCTATCTGATTGTAGCAAATCGACATCTTTGCGAGAAACCGAACTGGATTATTTCGTCGCTGGCAACCGCCGATTTTTTTGTAAGGTTAACGTACAAGTGGTATTTTTTCGTTATTAGAGGCTTTTTTACAAGAAAAGATCGCTGTTGGACGTACAATTCGCATATCCGCCATTTTGCCTTCATGAGGTTGTTGTTGATTTGGAAATGACACCGGTTTTTCCAGCATCTTTTTGGGGCATAACAAAAATGTTAATTTAACTATTTTAGCTCTCTTTACGTCTTTAAGTCTTTCAGTTTCCAGAATCAACTCGCTCTTTCCAGTTAAAATTAAAAATATGCTCATTTTTGTCCAGTCACATTGTGTCAGGATAAACTTCATTCATGATTACGAAGTACTGACAAAGAGTTTAAATTTAGTGGACATACATCGTTCAAAGCATATAAAAGGGAAGCTTTGTGAAGCGATCAACAATTTACAAAACTTCCAGAAGTCCTGGAAGAAACAAGAAGTTAAGTATCTACAGAAGAAGTTCAAAAAGAAGACAGCATGGCTTTTCCTTTCCCATTTCCAACCTATCAACCATGCAAGTAAGTTTAAAAAAATCCATTATTATTTGATAATGCAAGAGGAAATCAAGGAAAAGTTGACCGTTTTCAATGTAGTCCAAATTTTGCAAGGGCTTAGCTTTCGTAAGTGATATTATGACGCAATTTAATATTTCCATTGTGGAGTTGTGTTCGATTTTTCGGGTAGAATATTTTCGCCTGAAGTACAATTTGATCCACGCCTTACAGCAAATCTTAGATTCTCGTCTATTTCTTAAATTTTATTGTATCTACGTAAAATGTAGATGCAGTTCCATAAAACTTGGAAGACGTTCACTGTAGCGAGGCGGGGGAACTTATCTCGTCAAACACACCTTTTTAGACAAATTTAAATTCTCTTCTTGTGTCAGGAAATCTTGAGGTTTTCACCAAAAGAGATATGTCTTTCAGGAGGGTAACCACGCCTCACGCTGGTTTATAACTTCACGAATCGCGCTCGCCTTTCTGTAAAATTCGCGCGTCACATATCAACATTCTGGCCTTAATCACATGTTGCCTATGAATCCTTTGCCACCCACACGTGAGTATCTTGCATTTTCGATGACTTATTCCTTTCTTCATCTTAAAGTTACAATAGTCCGGTGCCTGGATGGTTCGACTTTTTCCACGAGCTATGGAAAGAGATGGCTTTGGCGTGTGAACAAGAAGTCGGCTACTGGGTGCAGGAACAGTCCAACAAGGGAACGGTGAAGATTGCATCTGTTCTACTGAGGCACTTCAAACCTGAAAACATCGCTCTTGAAGTTGATAGCGACAAGGTGATCCTACATGGAAAGCACCGCTCAGAGAGAGAAGATGGATTCTACAGATGCGAGTTCAAGAGGGTCTTTCCACTTCCGCAAAATGTCGATCCAACTACTGTGACGTCACGCATTACTCAAGATGGCGGCGTCCTCATCATAGAGGGCTTAAAGCACGTGGAAGAGAAAGAGGATGACGGAAAATTTGAGACCAAGTTGGATGTCAGTGGTTTTAAGCTAGAAGAGATAAAGATTCAGCTGCATGGAAAAGAGTTAATTGTCTGTGGAGAACGCAAATTAGAAGATGGCAGGACCAATCGGTCACGTGGCTTCAGTCACTGTATTCTGCTCCCCGATGACGTCGTCGTCAGTTCAGTAAGATCACGCTTGTCAAAAGAAG